CAAGGGGACAACATTTGCTATCCTCCAGTCTTCTGGCACTATTCCTGTGGACAATGACGACATAAAGATCAAAGCCAAAGGCTCTGCAATCTCCTCCCTAGCTTCCCAGAGAATCCTAGGATAAATCCCATCCTGCCCAGTGGACCTATCTATTTTCACACTTTCCAGAATTGCTAACACCTCCTCCTTATGAACCTCAATCCCGTCTAGTCTAATAGACTGTATCTCAGTATTCTCCTCGACAACGTTGTCTTTTTCCTGTGTGAATACTGACGAAAAATATTCATTTAGCACCTCTCCTATCTCTTCGGACTCCACGCACAACTTCCCACTACTGTCCTTGACCGGCCCCAATCTTACTCTAGTCATTCTTTTATTCCTGACATACCTCTAGAAGGCTTTAGGGTTTTCCTTGATCCTACCTGCTAAAGACTTCTCATGTCCCCTCCTGGCTCTTCTTAGCTCTCTCTTTACGTCCTTCCTGGCTAACTTGTAACTCTCAAGCGCCCTAACTGAGCCTTCACGCCTCATCTTTACATAAGCCTCCTTCTTCCTCTTGACAAGAGATTCAACTTCTTTAGTAAACCACTGTTCCCTCGCTCGACCACTTCCTCCCTGCCTGACAGGTACATACTTATCAAGGACACGCAGTAGCTGTTCCTGAACAAGCTCCACATTTCGATGGTGCCCAGCCCCTGCAGTTTCCTTCTCCATCCTAAATCTTGCCTAATCGCCTCATAATTGCCTTTCCCCCAGCTATAACTCTTGCCCTGCGGTATATACCTATCCCTTTCCATCGCTAAAGTAAACGTAACCGAATTGTGGTCACTATCACCAAAGTGCACACCTACCTCCAAATCTAACACCTGGCCTGGTTCATTACCCAGTATCAAATCCAATGTGGCCTCGCCTCTTGTTGGCCTATCTACATATTGTGTCAGGAAACCCTCCTGCACACATTGGACAAAAACTGACCCATCAAAGTATTCGAACTACAGCGTTTCCAGTCAATATTTGGAAAGTTAAAGTCCCCCATAACAACTACCCTGTTACTTTCGCTCCTATCCAGAATCATCTTTGCAATCTTTTCCTCTACATCTCTGGAACTTTTCGGAGGCCAAGAGAAAACTCCCAACAGGGTGACCTCTCCTTTCCTGTTTCTAACCTCAGCCCATACTACCTCAGTAGACGAGTCCTCATCAAACGTCCTTTCTGCCACCGTAATACTGTCCTTGACTAACAGTGCCACACCTCCCCCTCTTTTACCACCTTCCCTGATCTTACTGAAACATCTAAACCCCGGAACCTGCAACAACCATTCCTGTCCCTGCTCTATCCATGTCTCCGAAATGGCCACAACATCGAAGTCCCAGGTACCAACCCATGCTGCAAGTTCACCCACCTTATTCCGGATGCTCCTGGCATTGAAGTAGACACACTTCAAACCACCTTCCTGCCTGCCGGTACACTCCTGCAACCTTGAAACCTTATTCATGACCTCACTACTCTCAACGTCCTGTACACTGGAGCTACAATTCAGGTTCCCATCCCCCTGCTGAATTAGTTTAAACCCTCCCGAAGAGCATTAGCAAATTTCCCTCCTAGGATATTGGTACCCCTCTGGTTCAGGTGTAGACCATCCCGTTTGTAGAGGTCCCACCTACCCCAGAATGAGCCCCAATTATCCAGGTATCTGAATCCCTCCCTCCTGCACCATCCCTGTAGCCACGTGTTCAACTGCTCTCTCTCCCTATTCCTCGCCTCGCTAGCACGTGGCACGGGTAACAAACCAGAGATAACAACTCTGTTTGTTCTAGCTCTAAGCTTCCACCCTAGCTCCTTGAACTTCTGCCTTACATCCCCATCCCTTTTCCTACCTATGTCGTTGGTGCTTATGTGGACCACGACTTGGGGCTGCTCCCCCTCCCCCTTAAGGATCTCGAAAACACGATCCGAGACATCACGGGCCCTGGCACCTGGGAGGCAACACACCAACCGTGAGTCTCTCTCGTTCCCACAGAATCTCCTATCTGTCCCCCTAACTATGGAGTCCCCAATGACTTATGCTCTCCTCCTCTCCCCTCTTCCCTTCTGAGCAACAGGGACAGACTCTGTGCCAGAGACCTGTACCCCATGGCTTACCCCTGGTAAGTCCCCCCCCCCAACAGTATCCAAAACGGTATACTTGTTATTGAGGGGAACGGCCACAGGGGATCCCTGCACTGTCTGCCTGTTTCCTTTCCGTCCCCTGACTGTAACCCATCTACCTTTTTCCTGTACTTGAGGTGTGACTACCTCCCTGTAACTCCTCTCAATTACCCCCTCAGCCTCCCGAATGATCCAAAGTTCATCCAGCTCCAGCTCCAGTTCCCTAACGCAGTTTCCGAGGAGCTGGAGTTGGGTGCACTTCCCGCAGATGAAGCCAGTGGGGACACTAGTGGTGACCCTTACCTCCCACATTCTACAGGAGGAACATGCAACTGCCCTAACATCCATTCCCACTGTTCTGAATTCTGAAATAAAAATTAGTAACCTTACCAAATCGGCGCTCAGAACCTTTTTTTTTGGTTAGAGGAGAAGGATGGGTGGGAGACTACCTAAGTAATGTTTCGGGTCAAGCAACCACCCAAATATATTACCTCACTTTCTCAGCCATCCCGTGTCCGCTCCTGCTCAGCGTGCGCTCCGCCTATTCACGAGGTAAGTTTTTAAAGGATTAACTTACCTTCCCGGCAGCCACCTGGTCCTCACTCTCACTGCTCCTGCTGCTGCTGCAAAAAATGGTCCACGTACTTGGAATGGTCCACGTACTTGGAATGTTCTGCAGCAGTGTGGCCAGACCTTTTGTACATGATGTCCCTGCATACACATTCCATCTTTCACCTCCGGATGAAGTGGAAGATGGCTTGGGTGACTGCTGTGGTGCAGGCTCAGGGAATAAGCAGGACCTGTGCCACTTACAACAACACTGAGGAGTACCTCACACCTGATGACCAGGTTTTTAGCTGCAGTGGAGAGGGAGTGGTGCTCCCACCTGCCCAGTTTCTTCCTTACATTGGTGATAAACCCCTCCCAGGTTACAGAGGGGGGAACCTAGACCTAAGTCTTGGAATTTAGAGATGAGTGTGTTTAGAATTATGGTGTTGAAGGCAGAACTACAGTCAATAAGTAGGAGCCTGATGTAAGTATCCTTGTTATTCAAATGTTCCAGGGATGAGTGTAGGCTCAGAGAGATTGCATCTGCTGTGGATGTTGCACTGGTAGGTGAATTGCAGAGGTTCAAGACAATTTGGTAGGCTAGAATTGATGTGGGCCATGACTAACCTCTAATTATGGAGGTCAGAGCCATCAGACAGTAGTCATTGAGACACATTGCATGATTTTTCTTTGTCCCCAGGGTGATGGTGGTCTTCTTGAAGCAGATGGGGACTTACGATTATAGTAAGGAGAGATTGAAGATGTCTGCGAATACTCTCACTAGCTGGTCCACACAGAATCTTGAGTGCATGGCTAGGTACTCTGTCCAGGCCAGTTGCTTTCTGTGGGTACACTTTCAAAGTCCAATCTAACATGTGCAGCAGTGACTGAGAGTACAGGTACATCCAAGGCTGTTGTGATCTTGACCTTACTCTAGGTGCCCCTTCCTCACAGAGGGATAGGCATGTGCCAGCAGGTCCTCTTCAGAGAAAGAACTGCACACAGCCCCTCAGGTTTCCCCTAAGACATTCCAGAGATGGCCAAGTCTTCCACCTCTACCATGCCTGTCACCCTCAGCCCTTTGGCAGCCCGAGCTAAGGAATTTGCCTCTGGCAAGTCTGGACTGTCAAGATATAAACATGCCTGGGGTCAGCTGATCAATGCTTTATAGCAGGCTCCCTCCAACTCAGCTGCAGTCCCAAGGATTGCTCTGAGACATAGTCGGAGGAGAGAAAGAAGGAGACCATTTGACACAGTGACATCAATGACCCCTAGTTATAAATACATCATCGTGTTTGTAAATATGTTCACTTTTTACTGTCAGCAGTTCGTGCGAGATTCTGTGTAGCCACAATGCAACCTTGCAGAAACTAAAACCACACACATCCTTATCCCCAGATGATGTCCCAAGAATAGAGTGTGAAGTGAAAATCGGCTGCACCATGAGCATTTGGTGGGTGAACTGTGGGTGTCTGTGTCTGTGTCTGTCAACACAGCTCCATCTTTCCAGGTGCAGAGACATTGATGTTGCATCACAGGTATTCATGGGGTCTGGCCATTAGCCTGCATGAAGTGGAGAGGAGGGCTTGGGTAACATTGCACACAGTCCAATGGTTGACAAGGAACATAGAGCTCTCAATTGTGTTTCACCTTCATTGTATGCCTGTGCGTCTATTGGTGTTGCCCTTTAAAGGACCCCACATTGCTCTAAGTTGCAGACACCTCCCTCAAAGATGCCAGCATTTGTGAACCCCACCACTATCACCACCACTTTTGCTCGTGGACATAGCTATTTTCAGTTCCATTGCACACTTGTGATTTACAGGACAATGGAAGGCATCAGTGGCTGCTCCTTGGACTGAGAATTCCATAGTCTGCCTCGCCCAAATATCATCATCCCCTCTCTGGTAGCCCTCACTTCCAACCCTATAGGCGTTGCACCTCCACAAGCTATCACCCAACTCATCTCTGAGTCTGCCTCTGCCTACCTTTTCCCAAAGTCCAAGGCATACGAGGCGAGCATGCTGAGCCTTGTAGTTCATTGTCCCCCGGGAAAACAGGGTGCCATTAACTGTTGACAACCCCCACCTCCTGCATGACTTCCTTTTCTCCTATGTTCCATCATCAACCCCTCCTCCTTTATATATTGAGTTGTTTCTCCTTCACTATTGATTCCCTTCTGCATCCCAGCATTCTTCTTCCATTCCCTGCCATTAAATTCCCCAGCTTCCCTCCTGTAGCCCCTGATAGTCACATGCCCCTTAACATTTAGTGGACAGACACCATGCCCGCTGAGAACCAATGGCTAGGGTGATGGAGTATGGTCCATTTGCATATCCAACAGACTTTGCTTCTCCGCAACAGATGCCAGAGCATTGCATGCCTAAGGCACCAGGGTCCCTACTGTGTTGCTGTAGTCTTACAATCATTACATTAGATTGTGCAGTGCCATTGACAAATCTGCCTGCTGCTTTTGATTTGTTTGTGATTTGTACAAAGCCACTGAATGTTGACACTGTGGGATCCTCTCCTGCCTGGGGCTGAGCAGTTGCCTGGTCGCCAGCAGTCCTCCGAGTGCTAGTAACCAGCCATAAATGTTGACCTCGCAACCCTTTTCCCACAGACAGTTAAAATGTGAGTGTTGTACGATAATGACCAATGATTCTTTCTTGGTGGCTAGAACTTGGATGTCTCTGCATCTCTGCAGGACGTTTCCAAGTCCTTGCTGATGGGAATGATGATCCTCTCCTCGTACTGTGCCTTGGGCACCCCACTGCTCATCTTTTAGCCCTATAGAGATACATTTTCTTCTGGAATGAGAGGGAGGGATTGAGTTTGATGACATTGGGTGACACAGCTATTAGTGATGGTGCAGGTGGGAAAGTTAGTGAGGTGTCCCCAGTGAATGAGTGAGCATCACAGGAGGGCATGCAGGGTTGATAGCCTGAGCTGTTGGGATGGGTGAGGCCAGGTGCTGCATGAAATATTGAGAGTGTTTGAGCATTAGCCTTGTTGGAGGGGAGTGCAATAACAGCAATAGAGTAACTATGAGGTAGCAGAGAGAAGATCGTGGCATTTACCCTGGCAACGCAAAGAAGGCTATTGAATCTCCTGCACTGCTGGGTGCTCCTTGGAACAGTGGAAACCACGCTGACCCAGATGGTACCTCAGGCTGGCAGTGTCTGCAGTCCTGGGGGAAGAGGTCCTCCTTTACACCATTCTATCCACCAAGTCTTTGAGGTTCCTGACTGCAAAATAGGGTGCCAATTTCCCTCACCTGCCATTGTGTTCACCAACCTTTGTGTAGCCATGCAGGGCACTTCTGGAAGGCCAGCACTTGACCAGAGGCACAATGGCTTCTCACTAATGGAACTGGCACCAGGGATGCCAGAATATTGGAGTAGTGGCGAGAACTTCCAGGTATGATAAGTGGGAAAATTGGGCAAGTGTCAGATGAGTGAGTCACCCTGTGAGCGTGGTATGTAGTTAATGAGGTGAGTTTGGGACAGTCATGCAATAAAACTCATGAACCTCATGGAGAGAAAACTACCATGAAATTCACTGAAAACAACACCTCCAAAATATGATAAAATTCAGTCCTGGGGTTTTACAGCAACTAAACTGTGCAAAATGGAATGCTAGGATGTGAGGTGTTGAAAATTTGCATAAAGCCACTAAAAGGAAGTAATCTTGAATGAGATTCATGTATCAAAACAGATCGGTGTTAGCTGGTCCAATGACATAGTTTGACACATTCCTGTGGACAGATCTGACAGGAGTTTAAACCATTGATTACTGATCCTTGTTACATTGGCTGGTGTAGAAAAACATGTGCATTGAATAGAGTAGTATTAGGAGCATCCTTAAAACCAAATAGACTAGCTATGTTATAGTGGGGAAATCATTTATAATCTTTTGCAGTCTTCAGTCAATTCTTTGATCTTCGGTGGTGGCATTCCATTTAAAGTCACTTGCCTCGCTGTTTTGCCAAAGTTGTGAAGTGTTGAGTTTGGCACAATGTAGAATTCTTTTGGTGGATGGTTAGTTCAGTTGGCTAGATGACTGGTTTGCAATGTCAGCGTGATGCTAACAACAAGACTTTTGTTTTCATTCATCCACAGGATGAGGGCAACACTACCTAGGCCAGCATTCGTTATCCATTCCTAATTGCCCAGAGGGCAGTTAAAAGTCAGCCACATTGCTGTGGGTCTGGAGTCACATGTAGGCCAGACCAGATAAGGTTGGCAGTTTCCTTCCCTGGAGGACATTAGTGAATCAGATGGATTTTTCCGACAATTGGCAGTGGTCATTTTTGTACTGTTATTTCCAAATTTTCATTGAATTCAGATCCCACCATCTGCCATGGCAGGATTCGAACCCAGGTCCGCAGAACATTACCTGGACCTTGGGATTAACCACCCATCAATAATAGCACTAGGCCATCACTTCCCTCCATACCCTCACCAGCTGAGGTTACCATCGAGAACTTTTCTTCTCAACCTTTTCCCTTCTCCTGAGGCAATAAATATTTGTTAAGCAATGGTGATAAGGGAATGCATGTATGTGGAGTTAGGCCACAGGCCTTGATCTCATTAATGGGCAGAACAGGTTTGAGGGCCTGAATGGCCTCCTCCTGTTCTTGTGTTAAATTTGCCACCAGTAATCTCCCTCTGATGAGAGAGCAGCCCTATGGTCCGCTAAGACCTTTTAGAATCCTCTTTCATTTTGATATTTGTTGCCATGACGTTATGACCTATTCTATACATGCACTGCTCCATGTGTTACTCTTCAGTACTGCTGAACCTACCAAAGGTTACAAACAAATGTTATAGTTCAGGGTAATGCAACTTTAACTAATTGTAACAATGCCACTTCAAATTGCATCAACAAATGCAACATTCTTGCAAAGCACATTGGAGCTTACCTTAGACACTGGGAGCACCACTGAGTGGAGGAAGTCCTGATCTTTGCTTTGCAGAGGATAAAATTAACAATTTGGCAAGCAGAGAATTATAGAGACCATTCGGCCCAGCGTGCTCTTTCTTTGAAAGAGCTATTGAATTAATTCTGGTCATTTTTTCATAGAATCGTAGAATCCTTAAAGTGCATACAGGCCATTCGCCTATCGTGTCTGCACTGACCCTCTGAAGAGCATCCCGCCCAGACCTGGACTGACCCTATCCCTGTAACTGCACATTTACCACGGTTTACCCACCTAGTCTAGACTTCCCTGGACACTATAACGCAATTTAGCATGGCCAATCCACCTAACCAGCACATCTTTTGGACTGGTGGAAACTGGAGCCCCTGTGGGGAGCCCATACAGACACGGCAAGAAGTCCAGACTCCACACAGACAGTCACCCGAGGCTGGAATCAAACCCGGGTCCTTGGCACTGTGAGGCAGTTAGCTCAGTTGGCTGGATGGCTGGTTTGTGATGCAGTGAAATGCCAACAGTATGGGTTTAATTTCCACACCAGATAAGGTCACCATAAAGGTCACACCTTTGCCTTTAGCCCCTGCTTTTTCCTCTCAGCTCTGCAAATCTTTGCTTTTTCTTATTAAATGGGTGGCACAGTGGTTTAGTGCTTAGCACTGATGCCTCACTGCACCAGGGACCCGGGTTCGATTCCACCCTTGGGCGACTATCTGTGTGGAGTTTGCACATTCTCGCAGTGTCTGCGTGGGTTTCCTCCAGGTGCTCCGGTTTCCTCCCACAGTCCAAAGATGTGCAGGGTAGGTGGATTGCCCATGGCTAAATTGCCCATAGTGTTCAGGGATGTGTAGGTTAGGTGGGTTGTAGGTGAATGGGTCTGGGTGGGATGCTCTGTGGGTCGGTGTGGACTTGTTGGGCCAAAGGGCCTGCTTCCACACTGTAGGGGTTCTATGGTTCTATATATAATTGCTTTTTTAAAAATTACTATTGAATCTAGTTCCGTCAGCCTTTCTAGATTATAACTCATTGCATAAAGAATCTCTCACTCTCTCACCACACACAAACACAAACGCATATCTTTTGCTGATTATGTTGATTATGTGTTCTCTCAGTACTGACCCCCAATGTGTTTATCAGAATTTGATGTTTGTTAGTTATTGGCCAGAACAATGGAAGTAAAATCTACAGCAGACATGTTGGCTACATCCCAAGTGAGATGTGAGTATTCAGTATCAACCAGAACAATGGAAATATCTATACAGTTTCACTTAACAATATGAGATTGTTAATATTAACTGCTTAAAGTTAAGCTCATACTTTCTATCTGCTTTCCTGTCTGCCTTAGAAACCTGGATGATAAGTAAATATGAAATGTGGATGCCAAGGTGTATGCTGAAAATTCCATATACAAACAAATGAAGAGATGCTTGAAATTACAAGGGCAAAAAGGGCTCTCAAAAGTGACACCCAGAAAAACAATTCTCAGTATTTTGGCCATTTGACCAGAGCTGAAAAGCTACAGAGATTCCTTCTAGAGGCCAAAGTGGGGGACTACAGAAAGAGGGATCAATGTAGGTGCTGTTGGGTAACAGATATCACACAGTCACACAGTGGTTTCAAACAAGTTACAATGGATGTTTGAGAATAGCGCAAGATAGATGAGTGTGGCACCATGACGGTTAGAACCAAGGTGGCCATTATGTCCACACTGGAGGTTGGGTGAGGAGAAACTTCCTTCAGTGTATATTCTGGCCATCATGTACTATAACAGTCAAAAAATGGGTACGTAATGCATCAAAGAATTGCCCCTCCAAGGGTGAGCTCTCAGGACAGTTGGATCATCTAGATCTGAGGTAACGCAATTGTAGAAGTTCACCAACAACAATGTGATCTGCCAGTGCTGCAAATCTCCATGTTCAATCTCACATCAGACTGCAGTCATAAAGAAAATCCACAGAAAATGATTGTCGCTTATAGCTTGGACATATTTAGATAGAGAGGAGTCCACCATCACCACACCTCAAACGCTGTCATGTCAGCCTGGACTTTTATCATCATGATTCTAAAAATTAAAAAATTCTGGGCCGCTGTTTTAAATAAGAGCAGTGGAGTCGATATTTATCCCTCAACTAACATGACTAAAACAGATTATCTTTATTTGAGGTGAAGTTGAAGTTAGTGACTAGTCATCATTTTATTGAGCATTGCAACAGGCTTGAAGGGGCTGAATGACCTCAATTTTCCCCTATTTTGTATCATTATCAACATTGCTGTTTGTGGAGCTTGCAGTGTGCAAATCAGCTTCTGCCTGTCTGACTTTATAACAGCAATTCTTGGATATCCAGAGGTTATATAAGAGATCTGTAATATCAATGCAATTTTTGAGGCTCTGATCTGACTGCAGTAACTCAAGCTGCATCTCCATATTTGGTGAAAACTATTCTGTACGACAAAATCTAGATGTTGTATAGTGACCTTCAAATGAACTGCTAAATGGCAGAATCTGTGCAGTATTGCAGTGAGATAATGTCCTGTACATTTTTATGTTAAACCATTTGGGAGTTTGTTGTTGACTGGATTTCTATGAATGCTGTCAATTATTTCCCCTTAACAGCTGCATTTGACATCCCAACATTTTCTCTTAAGAGGTTGACCATTTTGAAGGCAGCTACAGCTCTCTAAATGCAGTGTTAAATTACTTTCCACCACCTTCATTAAATAGAAACCAGTCAGGCTAATTTGTTTCGAAATCTGGAACTTGGACGTGATGCAAAGTGGTCAACATTGCGAATGATGCTAAACCAGGAGGGAGGTGGAACTAGGGAGAGTAGCCCTGAAATTCTGGAATTATCTAAACAAAATATCTAAATGTGCAGTAAAAGAGGGCATAACATTTAATACTAAATTATATGAAGTACTGCACATAGGAAAGGAAAGATGGGCAACTGAACCAATCCCATGGATGAAATAATCAAATCCTACATGAAACCACTGACTGTATTTCAAAGTACTTTATTGATTGCAAAGTGCATTAGGACATCCTGAGGTCATGAATTGTTTGGTGTAAGTCCAATCTTTTACTACTTCTTGTAGCATAAAAATTTGCAAAATCAAGTAGGACTTGGGTACACTCAAGTTTTACACCATGCCCAACCCACACACGGCAGCAATTAATTAAATTAATATCATTGTTTAACCCCATGGCCAAAGTAGTAGAAGGCAAGTTAAACAAACCTCACAGCGCTGTGGTTAGAATACCTCTTGAGTACTGTATCTTCTTCTAGTCAGTGACTCACAAAGATTAGCCAGCTCTGGAAGAAGTGTGAAGAAGAGTCACAAAGTGACACCCTCATTTGGATATTTGGAAATACTTCAGCTTCTCGTTCTTGAAAGAAGATCTGTGGAAGATGATCATTAAGACATGTAAACATAAGCTTGGCAGCAGAATAAAGAGATGTAAGTTGAAACCAAGTTGAGTAAAACAAATCAATTAAAAGGAAAAGAGTAACCAAGACTTGGAATAGACTCCCAGGTAGAATATGGGGTGGGTGGGGGTAAAGTCGCTGGAGTTAAAACCAGTTGGACATAACATAGGATCATAGGCTGGACAGTTGCAGGTTCTCTTGTAACAAGAAAAATAACTTGCATTTATGAAGGTCTAATCACTCTCAGGGTGCCTGTTGTTTCACATTATACTGATTACCTTTGAAATCATCACTTTGGCAGCAAATGCAGCAACTAGTTGTAACTAGTGAACTATATAAGTAGCCAATTAATTTTTGGTGGTTACATTTCCTGTACTTGAATAAAAATGCATAGATAAGTGGATACTTGGGAGTGATGAGCTGAACAATAATTTTGTGAAGGAAAAGCAAAGCATGAGTGGTTTATAAACTATCATCAATGCTTTGTCAAACAGATTATCTGCAGGTTTGCATTGTACGTTATTGTTTTCCACAAAAGTACGGAAATAGGCACCAGAAAAAAAAGCAACAGATCTTGTATTGGTGTATTGGTTTATTAGTTTGACATTAGCAAGGAAATATCTGATATATAATCCAAAACTAAACACGAGTTATTATACATGCAGAATGCAAATGATTCCTGTACTTCAGAGACCTTGGGAATATAAACATGTAATTTTTGTAACATTAAATTCAGGCGCATGCATTTTGCTGTGGTGGTCTCTCAAAATGGTTACCGTATGTTAATCATATTAGTAGCTTACCTTTATTTCAGCATCTCCCCAGGGATAGTTAAATTAATTGGAAAGATTTGATGATTGGCAAATTGTTGTTTGAGGAAAGAAACAGCTTGTCTGTAAGTGTTCTTGTCTTTAAGGTGTCCATAATTAATTAACACATGCCACTGCTCGTTATGAGAGTGTTTGTTTGTTCTAAGGTTCTACCTTTTTTATTGTAAACAAATTCTGGAATTATCTTAAACATCATGTTCAATGACACCACTTCAGCATATGTTAATGTGTCTGCTATAGCTTAATTGGCATTTTGCCTTTGAATGAGAAGGTTGTGAATTCAAGTTCCACTTCAGCTCTTAAGAACAACGATCAAGGCTGACGCTCGGCAGGATTGACGGAGTAGTACTCTGTCAGATATACCTTCTTCTGCACGAGTCATTAAACAGAGGACCCACCTATTTAAGATAACCAGGTGCAGAGCTGGATGAACACAGCAGGCCAAGCAACGTCAGAGGAGCAGGAAGGCTGACGTTTCGAACCTAGACCCTTCTTCAGAAATTTCTGAAGAAGAGTCTAGGCCCGAAACGTCAGCCTTCCCGGTCCTCTGACGCTGCTTGGCCTGTTGTGTTCATCCAGCTCTGCACCTTGTTATCTCAGGTTCTCCAGCATCTGCAGTTCCTGCTATCTCTGACGCACTTATTTACTTGTGTATCAAAGCTCCCATTGAGCTCTTATGGCACAGTGATATTGTTCCTATCTCCTGAGTAAGATGTCTACCATAGGTGTGTAAGCTTCTCTGAACAGGGTGATGAGAAAATATCTACACTTATGACACTGACCCATCAGAGGGCTGTT